TTTGGCAGTTGATCTTGTGGTTGTGTTAGTGGGGTTGAATTATTTATGAAGGATTTTACAATGAAATTCTTATTTATTTCAAGCTCAATAATTGCACTTTATAGGAAATTAGAAGCCACGAATGGTTCAGCCTATCAGACTTAAATAGAAAGCTAATTTATGAGTCAAAAAGCATTGCTCTTCGACCTGTTAACCTGCTGAGAGACCCATGTCATTCGTATGAATAATCTGCCCATTAAATGCCCAAGAATCATGGCTCTTTAACTGGCAAAGACAAGGAAGCAATTAAAGGCTTAAACCCTATGAATCATCCCTGTTGAATTAGATGTTCAACAATTTTGGAGCAAATAAACATTAAAATATGATATCCTATAGTTAAGAAGTTGCTGGATCAATTTAGAGTTCGTTCCTTTGTTGCTAGTATTGCAGTTGATGCCAACCCTGACAAGTTCTGAAGTGTGGTCCAAATATTAAGAGTATCTGCAGAGGATTTTCTGTATGAAGCTCAGCACACACCTGTTTTAGTTGGTCAACACTTAATCACTAACCAGTTTTAGTGCATTAGTTTTCTGTGGACTCGTAAACTTAATATCACTATAAGGCTCCCATTTATGACTACGGAACTTTTGAGGGATTGCAGAAGTTTGTCATTGGTTGCTGCTGTGATTTCCATTGACCAAACATGCATTAAGTGAAATAGAAAACTTAAATGCGGTTCTTGAAGCATTTGGTGTTTCAGGTACTTTATGACACGTGGACGAGCATTTGTCAATAGGTTGGGATGGAGCGCTAAGTTGGAAGAGGATATCTTGTAGAATTTAATGCAGCATGCCCTGACGTTTGCATGTTTTTAAGAACATTCCTTCACTCAGATTTGTCAATCTATGTTATGCTTTCAGAAGAAATACAAAATGTGACTTTTCATGGTTTCCAGTTCACATTTACGTCAACCATCTTTTCGTTGTTTTTTTAAAACCTCAACATACTATATGCCTTTACTTTGGTGAATGTTAAGGATTTGAATTTCGGTTTATGCCTTATGTTTTCGCGAATTACATCAGACTCCACATATTTTAAATTACACGTAGACATTTGTGTTTGTGTGTTGATGTCTTTGCTTCATCTTGAAGCCCTGTTCCCCCCCCCCCCAATGCAGGTTTTATTTATTCCTTGGATTCATAACCAATAGGATGCACCATTATCTTCGGAAGCTAATTAATTTGAGGGGCAATGTGGGATCCTCTAAAGAAGAGCTAGAAAGGCTTCGGAAAGAAAAGGTTCAATTTGAAGATAAGGAAGAGAAAGCTTCCAAGGAGATAAAGAAGCTGAAGGAAGAAATTTCAAGCCTTTCAGAAAGTTTGAAAAAGGCAAAGTTAGAATGTGAAGAGAAGGATAAAAGAGTTGAGACTGCTGAAGTTCATGTTGCTTCCCTCCAAAAACAGCTGCCGATATGCTACTCGAATATGACCGACTGTTAGAAGACAACCAAAATCTTCAGGCTCAAGTACTGGGTAAAGCATAAAGAGTTGAGGAAATGCCAAGTTAGCAAACTGAAGTCTGGGAAGTAGATGTCATTCATGACCATCACTACTAGTTTTGTTGCAGAAGCTTCCTTGTTTTGCACAGAAGTGATTAATTTTCACTCCGTACTGAACTGGCAACAGTAGCTTACATAGGTGTATGTCTAAGATTATAAATTTTGTAGTTCTTCCTCTGGGATCTCTTTTTCCCCTCAACTCCGTAGTTTTGTCTGCCTTTTGGGCCAAGAAAGAAATTTTTTCACTTGAGATCTGGCTAGGAAAGTATCAACCGGAAAGGCTTTAGAAATTAAAATTAAAATTCTTCTAAAGGATCAAAGCCACCACTCGTGTTATCTAGATGTTATTGTTCAGGCTCTTTGAAGTTACGAATTCAAAAGTTTCTTTTTCTCCTTTAATATTACATGTATTGGATTGCAATTTAGGGATCCACTGCTTGGAAGGCATTAGCGTTGATTTTGGTCCGTAAAAGAATTTCTTATTTTTAATATCTTTTACTATAATTTATTTTTGCCAACCTTTTAGTATATTTATCATTTCATTTACATTCATCCTTATCAAAAAGTTGTTCGATCTTCCATGGTGTCTGTTTTATGCATCCCCTTCGTTTCTAACGATTGTTGAATTTTTCGTCTCTTGTCCGAGGTTGCATTTGCATCTTTCCATGTATTTGCATTCAGTCATGCTGCATCTTTACTTCATTTCTTTGGACCTTGTAATTTGTTGAGCGGCGAAAACCTTCTAAAAAGATAACAAAGGATCAAAACCTTGTATTCAGTCATGCAGGACGTAATGCTGTTATGATAAATAATGTATGGTGTGAGAAACGTTTTCTTGACGCTTTGTCTTACTAATGAGAAATGATAAATGATCTCATATGTTTCATGTGAATCCCCATGCGTAATTACAGTTCTAACAAGGGCAAAAGAGATCCAATGGAGCCTAATCCCCTAGAAATCTTCTGGTAAAGCCATTGAAGAGTTCAAAGATAAAAGAACTAAAAGGGAGAGAAAAAGGGACCTTTATTTGGAATGTTCCAACCACAAATCTTTTACATGGTAGCTTTTGTTTTATGGTATCGCACTACAAAAGTCATCATTCTCCATTCTCTGTTTTGTGGTCATTTTCTAATTTGATTTAGCTCCCTCATGACATCCATCATGTTCAATCTTTCTTTTGGTGATTCTACTGAACAAGCAAGTCCAATCTCAAATAGTGAAAGTATAGACTTCTCATCACAAGGAGGCAAAACAGTAAGATTTTCCATGATGATTTCCTTTTCTGCTGCTCTTCTTGTCTGTTGCATGTGTTGTGTCAAAAGAGTCAAATCTACAATTTCCAAAAGATTATTTGGATATGCAGTTTTGACATAGTTATGGAGATTGTTGCCATCTTTGAACATTTCTTCTGTGGGTCGTCTTCCCGTCTACATTTCCAAAACAAGGATGCCAAAAGAATATACATGACCCTGTGTTGAAATATCAGAACCTATTCCGTACTCTGAAAAATGTTACACAATTCTCAATGCTTGGAAATTAACTATTCTAAAACTAAAGAAAGGAGATTTCAAATATAAATGAATTTTATGATAGTTACAAGCTCAAATGAAGGCCAATCATACCTGGAGGAGCATACACAATAGTCCTTTTTATTCCAGTTGTGCTAGTTTGCTTGAAAGAGCTGCCATCAATGGTTGAGAGAAGTCTTGCTAGCCCAAAATCACTCACATTAGCTACCATACCACTATCAAGAAGGACATTGCTTGAATTTAAATCACAATGAATAATTGGTTGCTCACATTCAAAATGAAGATAGTGAAGTGCAAAGGGCACTTCACATATGATGTGTAATCTTTGATGAAGATCCAATATCAAACACTGGTTTGTACTATCTAGATCAGGATGCAGCCATTTTTTGAGGCTTCCATTTGACATGTACTCAAGGACTAGTGCTTTAAATTCTTGTCCTTTATAATCAATGCTTGAGCAACATGTTAGAATTTTAATTAGATTTCGATGCCTTATGTTTTTGAGGGCATTACATTCTAAGATGAAACTCTTATGAGCTCCCTTCTTTCGAAGATTTAGTACCTTTATTGCAATAACTTTATCTTCTGATTCTAGCCTTCCTTTATATACTGAGCCAAAACTCCCAGATCCAATCAAGTTCTTGGCACAGAAGCCTTCAGTTGCAATGTGCAGATTTTGATATGACACCTTGGAAAGTTGTTCAATTATTGGTGTTAATGAAGATAATTTCCGATTTCTTTTTCACCTCCAGTAGAAAGCAAGAATAAATATCATTAGAAGAGAAAACCCAAGCAAATCATTATCACCATAAGCTTTAAATTGTGGTGTCTTCTTTGCGTGTCAGCTTTTATGGCACATGGTGGTAGGTATAGCTCAGAAATGCCCCCGCAAATTTTAATATTTCCAGTTACTGATATTGCACTTGCATTGCTGAAAACTCATTTTGTTGGTAGTTGACCATCCTTCATATTGAAAGAAACATTCAAGTATTCAAGAAAGGAAATGTTTCGCAAGCCAATTACTATTGGCCCAGACAAGTTGTTTGGTGATATATTTAAATATGCAAGACTCTTCAGGGCAGCTAGCAAAGAAGGCATGGATCCATTGAAGGAATTGCCTCTTAGGTCAACGTATTCCATGCTTGTTCAGTCTCCTATGGAAGAAGGAATCTCTCCAGAGAGATGGTTTTCAGAGATATCCAAAGTGTTAAGGTGTTGAAGGGTTCCAATCTCATAAGGCAAAAGGCCATTCAAAGAGTTGTGAGATAAGTTCCGTAAAATAGACAAAGAAGAAAGACCAAAAATTTGCAAGGGTATGGATCCACAGAAATTGTTTTTTCCAAGGTGAAGGTGATGTAAATAGTTCATGTTTGCAAATATAGGAGGAATTTTCCCTTCTAGCATATTTTCTGAGAAGTCTAGGATAGCCAATTGGCTGAGATTTCCTATAGAGGCGGGTATCTCTCCTGAGAGTTGGTTTACACTCAATGCTAGCAATTGCACCTTCTAAAGATTGCCCAGAGAAGATGGAATGGTTCCTAATAATTTGTTTTGGTCCAGGGTCAAGGTAATTAAATTTGTATACTTCCCTAGAGATCCAAGAATAGTTCCATATATCTGATTACCACCCAGGTACAATCGAATGAGCTGGGTTGACAAATTTCCTATGGAATTGGGTAAAACACCTCCAAAATTGTTGCTGACTAGAGCTAAGCTTTCTAGTTTGTTGCAATTTTGCAAAGATGTTATGAAATTCAAGTCATCACTTGAATTGCTGCCAAGATTGTTTTCTTCCAAATTCAGAAGGTGCAAATCTTTTAGAGTTCCAAGACTTGGAACTTGGTCAACACAAGAGTTAGAAGTAATATCAAAAGCTCGAAGAGAAGATGCATTTGTGATGGAACTTGGTATGGGACCTGAGATTTGATTCGAACCTATGATAAAAAAATTTTAGATTTGGGAGGGTGGAGAACATGTTTTCTGGAAGTCGGGTCATATTCAACTGGTTTTCTGCTAATGATATGACAATGAGAGATGACATGTTGAAGAGTGAGCGGGAAGAGCACCAAAAAATGATTTGAGACTGCTGACAAAATTTTCAAGTTCTTCAAATCAGCTCTCTCTTCAGGGATACTTCCTTCCAAGTGACTATAAGCTATGTCAAGATTTGGCAAATAAGATAGATTCCACATAGAAGCTGGGAGTTTTCCAGTTAAATTGTTGTTATGAATGGCAAACCTTTCAAGCTGTTGACAGCCAATCTGGGATGGTATCTTACCTGTAAGACCATTCATTGACAAATTCAAGCACCTCAGTTCAGTGCAACTCATCAAGTTCCAGGGAATCTCTCCTTTTAATCTGTTGTTCCCAAGAGAGAGTTCTTTCAACCTGAACAAACGTCCCAACTCTGGTGGGATTTTACCATAGAAACTATTGTCTGTGAGGGAGAGATTTCTCAAGAAGGACAGATTGCCAATGTGGGGTGATATGGTCCCACCCAGATGATAACCCCTCAGATTCAACTCTATCACTCCCTTATGCTTGTGGCCGCAAGTGATTCCAGTCCAACTGTAGAAGTGGTTTGAACCATTCCAAGAGCTCAAGATCTCATTAGGATAATCAGTTATTGAGTCTTTAAACTTGAGCAATGCCAAATAATCTGTCTCGTTTGATGTAGCTCTGATATGTTGGAAGCAAAACAAATTTATGTAGAAGACGGTAAAGATTGATGCATGGAGGTGTTTTGATTGAAATGGGATAAACGAAACAGGATCAAAAGCCATGTGGCCTGGTGGTGTTCAAGAACTGTAGGTTTTTAAGTGTAAACGCTTTACTACGTCCTGCTCATGTACATCTCACCTTATATATTTATATTTAGGTGACTTAAATTCGACTTGAACACTTGGTATTTTATTTGTCTTTATTGAAATTACTTTTCAAAGCGGTATCTAAAAGATCTAATAAAAAAAAACTACGATTTTGACTATTGAAATTAGGCGATCTGTGTGAGATGTGCACATGGTATGTATATTATAAGATGTGCTCCTGCATCCGGAATTTAAAAATATGAAGCAAGTGGGAAGAAATAAACATGCTAGTGTTTACTCGTAGAATTCGTGTGTGTGTCTGTAACTTTTTCCTTGAAATTTTGACTTTGACTCTCTCTGTATATATATACTACTTTCGATTCTTGATATAAGAGTTAATTGACTAATTTATATATATTAAGAAAATTAGTTAAGTTAATTATTTGTAATAAATAGGTGTTGTTTTTTCTAAAATACTCTCGCTAATCAAGTGTATTAGCTAGAACTACCGTTTGATAAAATATTTAAGATGTGCAATTATTATAAGGGCTACCTTGAGAAAAATGGATAAATATAAGAGATACAGTAGATTAAAGTCTGATATTTAGGATCAAGCTAGCTCTTATATTAAGGACCAGAGGTAGTATAAATTAGTTCCGGTCTTTAATATAAGAACTAGTTAGAGATTTAATTTAATTCTAAATACAAGACTCTAATATACTTTATCTCCAATATTTGTCTATTTTGTCCTCAAATAATCCGTATGATGATTGCATGTATTAATGAGTTATTATCAAGGGATAATTTAAATGCACATGATCAATAAAAGTATTTTATAAAAGACAACATCTATTTATTACAAATAACTAACTAAATTATTTTCTTTAATATTTACAAATTAATTATCTATCTATTATATTAAGTACAGGACGTAGTGTACATATATATATATATGTTGGTGATGTGACAGTATATAACTTTATCTATTGGGGAGATCACGATTGTATCGACGTTTATGAATGCACCTAAATAAATTTTTGAAAAAGCGTGATCGTTGTGTTTTGAAATGATTTAGATTAATTACCATTTACTTTTTTTTTCAAGTGACACAGGCTGACATAATCTTGTTTGATGTATTTCTGATGTGAAAGCAAAGCAAATTTATGTAGAAGATCATTATGATTGATGTTTTAAGCCAAGGATTTTTTTTTTTTGGGTCAATAAGCTAATGATGTTTCTCCGCAATAAGACTTTCTCTTTTGCCTGATTTAAATCATAATTAATTTTCAATGATATGTACGTTCAAAGAAGTTAACAAATGTGAAGCCTGATGTGCCCATCAAGTTTAAGTAACTTGGATACCAAGATCCTTCAAAAGACAAAAATTTGAGTGTAGAGAATTTTAATTTTAAGCTTCGATATGACTTGTTATATTGCTCACGGCTTTGATCGTATGACCCTTTACTTTATTTATTTATTTTTTTAAAGCTTGAGAGTATTTGAGTTATAAAATGTTCTTTAAACAAGGAAAAATATGAGAGAAAGTATGTATTTAGTACATGTATATGTATTTGCAGCTAAAGATTAGTTGTCTCAATGACAATGCTACCCCTTACGTTTGGATGAGGTTTTTGCTTTGAATTTAACGTTAACATGTTTAGATACCGACGTATCTTTAAATTGTATTTCATAAAAAAATGTGAATGCCTTTACATATATAGTACCATAACTGTGTGATATATATATATATATATATATATATATTTTGGAATCCTTTGTTTTTCTTCTGGGCCGCGTATATCAGAGTATGGCCATATATCCTCACATTTTTTCCACATCATCCAAGGGGAACAAAGAATTGAGTACGCTCACACAAAGAATTGGCAGCAATTTTTTCCCCATAAGTTTAAGAGGAAATTTGACTCTGATATCACTTGCTAGGAATAAGGAGTGAAACCACAAAAATGAGTGAGCAATAGAGATTGTTATACACACACACACAATATTATTAAGTCCAATTCGATGTAAAACTTTTCATATTGAAAGGCATCTTAAACAATAACGTATGTCATGACGCATATATCGTTGATTAGAAACATAAACAATAAGGATTGGGATAAGGACATCCTAATTAATTAAGTGCTCAAACTCAGCAGTATGTGTTTCGTTTAGACCAAAAAGCCATTATTGTCTTTCAAGAAAGCCAAATAATTGACTTAGGATTTGGTAATGCCCACGGCTGCACACATACAGCTCATCTTATTCCAAGTTGTTCAACTCTAAGTGTGAACAGTGCAAATCATTGAAGTTGATAATTAGCATAATTTAATAAAAAAAAATATGGCCTGATTTAAATTAGAGATTTGGACAAATCCCGTGAATTGCGCATATTATGTTGCCAATTAGCATAATTTAATAAGGTTCTGATTCTTATGCTGTTTATTACTCCTCCGGTCCTTATTATAAGACCCATTTTAACTTTTTATTTGGTCCTAATTATAAGACCCAATCCATTTTGTCTGTTATATTTATGCATTTTTTTTTTCAAGATAATCCTTCTAATAATGATAGTTTTAGCCAATATACTTAATTAGTAAGGATACTTTAGGAATGACAACACTTATTTATTATAAATAACCAGCTTAACTTACTTCCTTAATCTCCTCAAATAAATCAATTGGGTCTTATAATTAGGACCGGAGGAGTATCTTCTTTTTAGAAGGGAATATATATTTTGATGTTGATTGTATATACTTTAATTGAATTCAAAGCTACATGCACACAATTTATTTATTTGTTTTGATAAATACACGCAATTTATTTAAGCACCATGGAGTAAAAATTTATTCATTATTTTGTTGGGTAAATGTGCATTCACCACTTTGATTCAAAAAAAAAAAAATATTTATTTAAAAGTATCAAGGCAAATATTCTAAAAAAGTTGGTATAAAAAATATGAGATGGAGTAAATTGGTTTATTATTTCCTTAGCGCCAATATATAATTTAATTAAATAAAGAAGTTATGAGAAAAATTACGTCTATGTTGCGTACAAAAATACTAAAAAAATGGCTAAATCTAATTCCATTGCGATGGCTCAAAGTAACAGACAGAAGTAGAACAGAGAAGTGTGAAAAACAGAGGCTGATACTAGAGTGTTGAGTACTACTCTAACACTATGTTTGGTAGAAGAGAAGGAGAGGAAAAGAAGAAAATTTTTAGTAAGTTTGATTTAGAAAATTAGAGAACTGAGGTTGTGAAATTTAATAAAGAAAAAATATAAAATAAAAGAGTAAGAAAAATTAATTAAAAACTTTTGATCTCACATCTTTAATTTTCTAAACTGAACTCGTTAAATTTTCTTCCTCTCTATTTCTTTTCGTACCAAACAAATTAGATTAGAGTTTAATTTTATTGACGACATAACATCCCAAAGCCCAAATCTAATCTTCAAAATCCTAAACTATCCTATTCAAATTGCCCCTCCCACAGATACTTGTGAAACAGTATTAGTTTTCCCCGCCTCAAGTTTGAAACACCCTGTTTTGGTAAAGCATGGAACAAAACAGGGGGGGGCCCAAAAACAGAGTGGGACCAGAGAGACCCACCCTTGTCTATATTTATTTCATATTCAAATTCTTGCTTGCTTAAAGTTTAAACTTTTTCTCCCAATTTGATTTTCTAAGGAATACAGGACTTTGATCACACTTTCTTTAATCAATTAAATCATATATACATACAGTTCCTGTATATCTTTCTCCGAAATTAAAAAAAAAAAAAACAGGTTAAATTTTTCTATTGTTGTACCTGAAGTTGTATTTGCATATTTCTTTTCATTTCCCTGATCAATTAAACTACGTAATCTTTTTCTTCTCCATGTTTTCTTTTAAATACCAAGTTAGGCGTATCTGTACCCATGGGAAAATATTACAATCTGTTTGTTTTTCTAATACAAATTGCAATTTGTTGAGTACCGCGTACGGCCTCAAGAAAAACATTTATAAGATTAAAATTCACAGCAATTTAGATACTGAAGGAGTAGCTGATTCACATACCAAAGTACAATTTATTCCAGCCTATTGATTGACTTTTCTTTGTTCACAAAAGAAGAGTCCTAGAGAAGATCTGACATTGAAATACAATTCATGAGAATTAAGGAATTTTATCAGGGTTTATAATAATAGCATATCTAAATTGCCATTATTTCCAGCTCATTCTTTGTTGTCTTCAAGTCTGACGACTTGTTTGGCCACGACCCAAAACATTTTTAATTTGATTTAGCTCCCTTAGTACACCCATCATGTTCATCCTTTCTTTTGGAGATTCTACTGAACAAGCAAGTCCAATTTCAAATAGTGAAATTAGAGTCTTCTCATAGTTGGGATGCATACGAGTCACCTCCATCCTGATTTCTCCTCTAGTTGCTATTGTATTCTGCCGTACTTGCTGGGGTACAAGAGCTGTGTCCACAATCTCCAAAAGATTGTTTGGACATGCAGCTTTGACGTAGCTATTAAGATTCTAGCTGCCTTCAAACATCTGATCTGTTGGTCTTTTAAGGGTTAATATTTCCAAAATCAGGATGCCAAAAGAATATACATCACCTTGAGTGGATACCTCATAACTCATTCCATATTCTGAAATACATTAGATATTGATGAATGTTTCAAAAATCGTTGTCTTGAAACTAACAAAATAAAAAAAAGAAAAATATTTCATAAAAGAAATGGAATTCATAATGCTTTGAGCCAAAATAATAAGAAGTTACCTGGAGGAGCATAGCCAATCGTTTCTTTCACTCCAGACGTGCTTGTTCGCTTTTGAGAACTGCCACTAAGGGTGGCAAGTAGTCTTGCTAACCCAAAATCACTCACATGAGCCACCATATTATCATCAAGAAGGACATTGTTGGGCTTTAAGTCACAATGGACTACCGGTTTCTCATTTTCATAATGAAGATAATGCAGTGCAGAGGCA